CGATGAAATCGCACCTGAATTATGATTTTTAATCGAAGGTGGATGTAGGTGTGTGTCGGCCACAGCACATACTTACCATAAGGTGCGCTCGTTTGTAATACTCTTATACAATCTGTGAGACTCACAATCCTCAGACGAGACATCTCAATAGTAGCCTTCTTATTGGGCAGTACTAAGTGGGTTGCTGGTGCCCATGGTATCTAATATTCATCTAGTAAACTATCAGTTTCTTTGTACTTTTATTGCTGTCTTCTTGTCTATCATTATCAGCCTATTAATGTCCACTTATAAAAAGAAGTAATGGCTGTTGTATGTTACTAGAAATTCAGAAATAAAAAATGAAAAGACGTATAAAGTTGATACGGATTACGGATTTTATCGCGTTAATAACTTTTTTTTAACTCCCGACGTTTTGTTCGTTTTTGACATCCTAATATCTAAGTAAAATATGGCCATCTTCAACATTCATTTAAAATTAAACGCGATAAAATCTACAAAATTAGTTTTATTTCATGCGCAGTAGTCGTGTAAATATAATAAATCTTAATGGTACATTCGACTATGAAATAAAGTTTTACTCTACAAACTGTAACGCTCCCCCCCTCTTCCACCTTTCGCTTTCGCTTACCACCGGCACTAAGATGTTGTTAACTGCATACCTCCATCGACCAGAACCACAAAATGCGTCGAATCAAGCGCAGCACACCCGCAGATCCATCACAAGACGCAATACCGCAAGTAGCAGTAAACATCAATGCAACTATCATAAGGGTGGCGCCCCCTCACAACACACCCACATGATCCTATCGACTTTGGTAACAAAGTTTGTATTCTTGTTAACTAAAAAATATCACCAACTTATCATAGTAGCACGCTACTAAGACGCCAGCGAACAAAACTCCACGTATCATAGCGCTAATGCACTAAGACATGAAGTTAACCACAACCTAAGTTAACTCACAAAACACCCTAATGCACAAGACATGAATTCTATCTTGTTAATTAAAAGTGCTACCAAACACACTTATCCCAATCCGAAAGAGAGACGACGCATCGCTATACGCTACGACGCCGCTCACAAACGGTATGGGTGTGCGATATCTACGGGAAAGCCGTATTGCTACAACAAACCCGCTCACCACCGGCACTAAGATGATATGTCTAGGACATATCGGTTAGCGAGTCCAAGTTTACCTCGGACCAATTGTTCATGAAGCAGCATACACGCCACCGTAATAATCCTTTTCAAGTCCCTAATAAGGACTAGTCATTTTGCTACAGTACTAGGAGCAGTCGGTCACCCGACCACCCCATACAATAATTATGCATCAAGGAGACCTTCTATAATAATTCTTTTGTTTCTTAGACCCTACTTTTATAAGTCATTAATATATAGGACTTCAACCCACAATTCTACTATTGTATTCATAATAGACCTTATTGCTTTTGTATCATAGACCTTACTTTCCTAATATGTCATTAATATGTAGGACTTGAACCCACGACCCTACTATTGTAATGCAAATTCATCATAGAGACCTCTATAGTATTGCTTTTGCTATAATAGACCTTACTTTCATAAGTCATTAATATATAGGACTTCAACCCACAACCCCACTATTGCAATGCAAATTCATCATAGGGACTTTCTATAGTATTGCTTTTGTATCATTGAGTTTATTATCATAAGTCCCTAATATAGGACTAGTCATTGTGCTACAGTACTTCAACAGTCGGGCTCCCGACCACCCCATATATATGTACAACTGAAGGTATGTGTCTCCGGCAGCTCCTCCATACAAAACATCTATACATGAACACCTACAACTTAGGAACATTTTCTTTTATACATGAACTCCTTCCATGACTTAGACAATTTTTAACAAATTTTCTAGTTATCTTATAAATGTTATTTATCTTTATTTTTATAATATTTTCGATTTGTATTTCTATTATTTATTATATTTTAAATATTTTTACAAGTTTTTAAATAAATTTATTTATTATGGAAGACAATATTTTGCCTTTAATTTACTATGTAATTGGTCTAATGTCTGAAATGTATTTATATTAACTTTATGCTTATTAATTTAATTTTTTTGCTTAATATATATATTTAAGACTATTTTTGATGCCCCTTTATATTGAATTTAATTATTAATAATAATATTGGGCCGTCACAAAACGTTTACTAAATTCTTAAATATCACATCTTATTCATATATCAATTGAAATTACTAAGAAAATAATAAAAATTAGTAGCAGCCGGACATATAATATCAAATGAAAAACGTAATAAACACTCAAAGACCGTATCGTGCGTTGTTAGCTACTAATGAAATTCAATTTATCATTATCATATTCTTGGTTCCTTTTTTTATTAAATCTATTATAAATACTTATATCATATACCTAATTGTTACAGTAAGTGATAATGCAACTTATTATCATTTTGATATACCACAAAACTCGGTCCTAAGTCACCTGCATCTATCGACGTCCTGCTCCTGAACCTCCTATAATAATAAATCGGGTAGTATACACGAAATGAAATCCGTTATGGCTTCCTAAGATGATCCGTTCCTCATGGTACACGAGGCGACCGTTGGAAAGGCCAGAAATACTTAAGTCTAAGGATCTTCGCTTCTAAGGTCGTCGAGTTAAAAGTGCGAGACGACTGCACATTTTCCACTCCCACTCGCCCTATCCTCCGCGACTCAAACGGGGCCACACCGTTGATGCGGTGGTGGTGGGGCTGCGGGGGGAAAGGAGTGTCGGTATTGCGAGGCGCCGCTCTCCCTATCCTCCGCAGCCGAATCTTGGTCTGCGGTTGAGCCATAGACCAGATCCGCCGCTGGGTTGGGAAGGCTAGTGATTCTGAGTGTTTGTTTTTCCTGGCCCCATTGCCTTCGCGCATCGGAAACGGGGGCGTCCGTTGCGCAGGTTTAGGTGGAGGCCGTGGAGGAAGGCACCATGTGTTCTGGTGCGCCTTACGACGCCGTGGGGCGGCCGGCGCTGGTGTGGCCGCGGTGGTGTGCGAAAGTGTTCCCGTGGCCCTGCCAAGATGCGACGAAGGTGGAACACCATGGGGTTTAAGTCGGTGCGAGTCCGACATAACCCGTCTTTGCCCCCGCGAGGCGGGTATGCGTAGGCATTTCCCCATGTAAAAAAAAGCTTGACAAGTGTGGCAGCCTCATGTCGGGAACAGAAATATAGAGCGGCGGCTAACTGAAATGACAGTCGTCGCCTAGTTTAGGCATCAGTCTCTCACATTAATTTGTGCCTTTTTTTTGTTAAAATTCGATATTGTTAATTTAATGTGGAGAGAAAAATAAATTATTATTATTATTATTATTATTATTATTAACCTGGTAAGAAATTTAGGAATTCGATGCATGCAGGTGATTCAGGATAGTGCTTTATAGCATTCCTTAGAGATACATATGTTTAGCAGTGGACCTGTGAAGGACTGTATAATAATGATCGGCACTTCGTGCACATCACCGTCATTTTCACCCAATGCACCTTTTTGGACTCACTCAGCTTGGCTTTAGCTTGACGCTATAAAATTTCCGCTGTAAGCGAATCGTCGATTAATCTTACTGCACATTTTGTTCATATTTTTTATTTAACTACAAAATTCAAAAACGCTCAATTTAACACAACCAAACGGAAAGTACAAAAAACCGAGACGACCAAAACACAAAAAACGGAAGTTTATTCAAGAACTTGCGGCTTGTTCCGGAAATCTGGGCCGAAGTTGGCAACACTGTTTTCTTGTATGGGTTGGTTAAAACCTTTAAAACCTCGCAAAGCTATATAAATTCAGTGTAACAAATCTTGTCTTATTTGACTTCATCCGGTGACTGTGATTTATGATTTTTAATTTTAGATAAGGGGTGTAATTGGAAGGGGAATAGATCAACTTTTTCTCCGAATATCAACCTATTGCACTGTACACCCTTAAAAATTTCAATAAAAAGATTGTAAAAAGAATAAACACAACTGAGACTTCCACGGAAACGGTGTAGGATTCTAACAGGTTCCATTCCCGCGAAACAGACACAATAGTTAAACAATTTGATTACAAGAGATGCTTAAGCAAATGATCTGATGAAAATATATTCAAAAATGTTGGCCCTAACGGAGACGGAAATCCGTATTATTATTGCGAAGGTATTGGTCTGTACTTACCGACCGGCATACTTAGGTTTGTAAGTTAATCACATAATAATCTGTCTTCAAATTAGTATTAACGTATTTATGGAAACAAGGGTGACAAGCAACACACATTCCACCTGATGAGAAATGGCAGCTAGGGCCTATAGGTAACTACATGTATCCTCGATTAGGAATCAAAATGCTGATGCGACATCCCCTCTGAGGTTTAAAAAGGATTGCGTATTACCATTAAACTATCGCCGTCTTGTCGTTTGTGCTTACGACCTTACAACGATACAATGAAACGGTGCCGGGCCTAGGCGTCTCCCGTTAATTGGCACCCAAACATGGATGATGGATTTTAATAGAAAGCCTATACGGCCGCTGCCTGGGCGTCGCTGGGGCGCGTCTGGAGCTGGCGCTAGACGCGGCAGCATGCGAGTCGCCAGTCGAGCGCGAGAAGCTGCAAGATCACCTAGCAGCCCCCCGCATCCATCATCCCCACCAGATGGCTTAATGCCGCTTGCCAAGTCTGAGAGGACCCCTCTCAGACTCGGCAAGCGGCATCCGCCGCTGGTGGAGTGCGCCGCATGAGTTGTACAAAAAATATGAACGCAAACGCATTGCGGGCGTACTATAGGGCAAAAGGGGAAGAAACCGCAGGGATAGCGTATCGGGCTCGAATGCATTGCTTTTTTGCTGAACTGGAGCCATCTATTTCTGTCACGAAATAAAACCTGGCACACCGAGTTCGGTACATCATGCGCTCGAAAATATTTGATGATGCCGAGCTCGAACGACTATGACGTGAGGCCAATCCCTCATCGAATGAATTGGCTATGACTGGGGATGCGGCTTCTCAGGCGACAGACCAGTATCCACGCGTGGAAGCCGCCATGGATCTTCCAGTTGTGGTTGATTCGGACGATGATGAAATGATTTCCCACGAACTAGGGCAATTGAGGAGTATATTGGAAGAGGCGATTTTGAAAACGCGCAGCATGCCTCTCAATAATCGACCGCGACTTCCCCGAATACCCCTAAGCAAGCGAAATCGGGCTGTCGTGAGTGCTCTTAACCCAATGCTGGTAACCTATTTGGAAACCAGCAGGGCTTTGCGAGACGGACTCAATTCTTTTTAGCGCCGCACTGGCAGTTTGCCGTATTATTGGCGCCAAACTTCCCATGGCTGGACGCACTACTAAACAAAGTAGCACCATCCCAGCCTGGACAAAAAGAATTAAGGACCGTATCGCAAAGGCAAGGGCCCTTATCGGCAGACTGACAAGCCTCAGGTCGGGTAATAATAGCTTGTGCGCACCGTTAGAATGGCGTTTGCTGGGACAAATATCAGTTTGTCCTAGCCGGATATCACGCAGAAACTAACGGAGCGCATAGACGACCTGAAGCAAAAGATCGCTGCTTGGGGGAAGCGGATCCGGCGATTTACCGAGAGGTCAAGGCAGTTCAACCAGAACCTTCTCTTCCAGAGTGATCAGAAGAGGCTCTATAAAACATTGGAGCGACCACAGATATGTGGAGCGGGCCCAGGACCGGATCAGGCTAACACTGTCGCATTTTGGCGTGGCCTGTGGTCAGAGCCCGTAAATCACAGCGAGGGCCCTTGGATGGAAGTTGTGGCGAGCCAGAGTGCGAATGTTACGTCTATGGACCCCGTCACCATAACGCCGGAAGACGTGGATGAGGCGGTTCGTGGAGCCCCGAACTGAAAAGTCCGGGGCTCGACGGGCTGCATCATTACTGGCTGAAGGGGTTCGTAGTGTGTCACGCTGTGCTCGCCCGACAGTTTCAAGAGGCTCTCGATCAGAAGTCGCTCGCGAGCCTCTTCACTACTGGGATCACTCACTTGATTCCTAAAGATCAGGATACCACAGACCCGAGCAAATACCGCCCCATCACGTATCTACCCACCATATATAAGACACTGACATCCATTTTGAGGGCGAGAAACACTCGTCACTTGGAGCTAAATCGGGTGATGTCACGCGCTCAAAATGAATGTCGGGGCGGTGGTCGTGGAACCAAGGAACCACTCCTCATTGACGCTGTCATTGGCAAAGTGGTGAAAATGCAACCGTCGGAACTTCTCCGCCGCCTGGATATACTACAGAAAGGCATTCGACTCGGTGCCCCATACATGGCTAAAGAGAGTCCTCGAGCTGTACAGGATAGACTGTACAGTTAGAGACTTCTTCGAGCATGTGCACGGGGCATGTATAAGGCAGTGGAGTACGATACTTTGTTATCTGAACGAGCGGATGATGGCTGCGGAGAACCACATAATTATAAGAAGGGGTATCTTCCAGGGCGATTGTCTGAGTCCAATCTGGTTCTACCTCTCTCTGAACCTTACTGGAGGGATCCGGGGGGGGGGGGATTTCAGCTACGGAAAGGAGGTACAAAAGTTTTAAAACCTTTTCTATATGAATGATCTCAAGTTATTCGCCTCCAGTCGCTCCCATCTTATGGAATTGCTAAACATCACTTGTGAATTCAGCAATTCCCTTTCCGAGGTTGAAACATACCGATACCTGAGTATGTCACAGAACATCGGTATCGATGAGGCTGGTATGAAAAAGTCAGTTTGCGACGTGTTTTATGCACGCTTGACCAAAGTGCTTAACAGCCTTTTGTCCGGTGTGAATAAGACACACGCATATAACGGTTGGATCATGCCTGTCCTCATGTATACCTTTGGCATACTCAGGTCGACTCAGACCGAACTTAACGACATGGATAGAAAAGTCCGCACTAATACGACGTCCCATAGGATGCATCATCCGAGATCGTCGGTAATGAGGCTGTACTTGCCGCGAAAGCATGGTGGGCATGGTTTTCCGAGCGCGCTCACCATACATAATCACGAAGTGTGCGGCCTCCGTCATTACTTCCTGGCGAGATCGGATGATCCATTCTATAATGACGTCATTTCTAGTAATAAAGGGCTTACCCCTCTATTTTTAGCAAACGATCAATGGCAGGACCCGCTCAGGACCCCCCCAGGATAAGCTCCACGGGAGGTACTACAGGGCTCTACATGAGCCCTTTGTAGATACAGTCGCCTCCCTCAATTGGCTACGTTTCGGTGACCTCTTCGGAGAAACCGAGGGTTTTTTCTGTGCGATACAGGTTCAGGTTATTAAGACCAACAACTATCGGAGATATATCCTAAAGGATGGCACCGTCGACATATGTCAGGCTTGTCGCCACTTAGTACTTAGTACTTGCACAGGCACAACCTAGTAGCCAAAATTCTACACCAGGAGCTCGCTCTGAAATACGGTCTCGTGGACCGGATACTGCCGTATTACAAGTACTTGCCGGAAGCCGTGCTCGAAAATGACCGCGCCAGGCTCTACTGGGACCGGGCCATCATCACAGACAGGACTATTCTTGCGAATAAGCCTGATATTGTGCTGATGGACCGGGCACAGTCAAGGATATTTTTGATCGACATTACCACTCCGTATAACGAGAACCTCGTGAAAGCCGAAACAGATAAACGAACAAAATATCTGGACCTGGCTCAAGAGGTAACCGACATGTGGGGTGGGCTGTCGACTGAAATTATACCTGTAGTAGTTTCTGCAAACGGACTAATCCCAATTAGCCTCTCGGGTCATCTGAGGCGACTGGGACTCCGTGACGGAATGCTCCGGGCTCATATGCAGAAGGCGCTGCTCCTCGATACCGCCCGCATTGTCCGCCAGTTTGTTTCCCTTTCCCCCTAACCCTCGGCCGTTTGGTCTCCCCTGCCGAGGGCTTCTATCTGGTTGGTCTTTTATTTATGTATGTATTTTTATGTATTTGTTTTATTTTATTTTTATTTATGTATATTTATCATTTTCGTTCGCAATTATATATTTATGGAACCCAGCCAGATGAGAAAACTATATGGATACCCCATAATAACATAATAATGTCGCCATCCCGGTGAGTCGCTTAGGCATGTCATCTCCGGTTGTTCGGCGCTTTCTAACTCACAGGCATAGCCTAATAGCCAGAATTTTACACCAGTAGCTCGCTCTGAAATACGATCTCGTGGACCGGAAATTGCCGTATTACAAGTACGTGCCGGAAGCCGTGGTCAAAAATGACCGCACCAGGCTCTACTGGGACCAGGCCATCATCACAGACAGGACTATTCTTGCGAATAAGCCTGATATTGTGCTGATGGATCGGGCACATTCAAGGATATTTTTGGTCGATATTACCACTCCGTATGACGAGAAGCTCGTGAAAGCCGAAACAGATAAGCAGTCAAAATATCTCGACCTGGCTCACGAGGTGACCGACATGTGGGGTGGTCTGCCAACCGAAATTATTCCTGTAGTCGTCTCTGCAAATGGGCTAATTCCAGTTAGCCTCTCGGGTCATCTGAGGCGACTGGGACCCCGTGAGCCCCCCAAGTGCAGAAGGCGGTGCTCCTCGATGCTGCCCGCATTGTCCGCCGGTTTCTTTCCCTTTCCCCCTAACCCTCGGCCGTTTGGTCTCCCCTGCCGTGGGCTCCAGTCTGGTTGGGCTTTTATTTATTTATGTATTTTTGTATTTATTTTATTTTATTGATATTTGTGTATATTTATCTTTTAATTTTATTTATAATTATATATTTATAGCACTCAACCAGATGACAAAACTATAAAGATAATAAAAACATATACAGACATCCATTCATACAAACATACATATATCTAAATATATATAATAAATATATCTATATGTATTTATCTATATGTATTTTATCATACATATAAATAATATATATAATAAAATACATATACTCGTAAATACACATATATCTACAAGTCATATATTAGATCATTGGGACGACAAAGAAAGATCGTGCTCTTTAACTCACCTTTTAAACACTGAAACTGTTTGAGCCTCGCGAATTGCAGCAGGAAGAGAATTCCATAACCTAAACTGCATGTACTATAAAACAGTCAGAATAGAACTTAGTTCTGGGGGAAGGGAATTTTAGGAGAGTTCTTAAATGGGGAGAATGAGCAAAGCGGAATCGATCACGTAGATACGGTGTTGATGTTGGATTGTATAGTATGTTAAAAAGGAGACATAGGATTTGGGTATTCCTGCGAAGTCGGATTCGGAGCAACTTAAGCTGTTTGCGATAGGAGGAGACGTGGTAATACTTTTTTAACCCAAAAACATTACGAATACATAAGTTTTGCAAGTGCTAAAGTTTGTTTACTGCTACATGAAAAAACATAATAAAAAAATAATTAAATGTAAAAGGTAAACTTTTTAATAAAGAGACGAGGTATATTAAATTAATTTGTCATTTGTTTCCGTAGTAGAAATCGGTTTGAAATTTAGAAAGTGTACGTAATACGAGAAGATGAATTTAGCTTAAGAAAATTTTTGTTATGTTTGATAGGACTTTCGTTGTCACCTTCTTTAAAAATAAAATTATGATATACTTCGATTGATATTTCATGCTTAATCCTCATCCCGTTTCACTCTTTACAACTAGTTCTATAAGCTTAATTGTAGTCGTAGCAATCTCAGAAACTATCTGCGCTTAGGTTGAAGATAAAGTTAATGCTCTGTGACGTATTTATGATAGTAGCTTAGCATTAGACCACGTTCACAAGATGTAATATTCAGTTACAAGTAGTAAAAAGATATGCTTTAATGTAGTCTCCTTTTCTATATTTAATGATGAATTAATTTATGATTCAATTGGCCAAATGTGTTTCATAGACAACGAGCGGTTTGAGTAGTATTCCAAAAAAAGTATGAAAATTAACAAATGAAGCTATCACAAAAGGCATAATAAGTAAGTTATTTATTTTAATATAATCAGAAATGTTTGTACATATTGTATGTTTATTTTCCTTCGATTTTCTTTTATTTACAAAATACTGCATATATTACATCCACACCGTATTCTATTAAAGAGGCTAAATTTATTGTTAGTGCTTTTATATTTATATTTTTATTAAATTTTACGACATCAAAAGCGAGTGTGCACTCAGCCGTCCGAGTTGCCTCGAGGTATGGGATGGAGTGAGAACCAGTACTATTACTTGAGACCACATTTCATCTTACAAGCTTTTTAAGTGTATTTTCTAAAATTGTTTATGTAGATTCAACCTTTTACGTGATAAAGCTACGGTGCAGCTATATTATAGTTGTAGCACGAATAGGTCGGCTCGAACGGGGCAGGACCACGCTCTCACAGAACATCAGTGTAAAATAGCAGCGTAATGCTGCTGTGTTTCGTATGGTGAGTGTAGAGAACCGGAAGCCTTTTTTACTGGAATCGAAGCATTCCATCTTAGTCATCAGGGGATGAAAACGCTTTTGAATTTTGATTCTTAATTGAGGATAAATGTAGATGTCTATTAGCCACAGCATCCACTTATGGTCATCAGGTGGACTGTGCGCTCGTTTGTCACCCTGCTATAAAAACACACTTGGTTTTATTTGTCTTTTTTCTATCATTATTTTTCATATGTTGTGCTTCATGCTTTTACTGGCATACATTAATTTCTTTCTTTTTTTTATGAAAGCTCTCATAGCATATGCGATCACTTTATGTTCCCGGTACACGATTAATATTCCTCCTGCGTATAATGTCTGCAGCACGATCATGTCGGCTCCAGCGGGGAATGACTACGCTTGCACAGTATGTCAACATAATTCTGTTGCATATGTTGAGCAATGAGAAACGCAGATATTATAAAGG